GGGGGGGGCACAGCAACCTGGCCCGGCCCCTCGGCCCGGCCTGGGCATCGCATCCCGCCCCCTGCCCCTGCGTTCAGGTCCTGGCTGCCAGGCTGGCCTGCCCCAGCCCTTTCCCGTCCAACGCCCTCTGCAAACACGGCCGAGTACCTAACTAGTGTACACAGCCTCGGCACTGGGCGGAGAGACTAGAGCCTCTGCTCCACTGCGGGCCCCCAGGGGCTGCACCGCCCCAGCAGCGGGGCCCCAAGAGACCACTAGAGCAGGGCCCCCACCTTACCCCCAGCCCACCGTCCCCCGTGCCCAGCAGCCTAAGGAAGCAGAGGAGCAGGCAGCAGTGCTGATGCCTGCTGCTATGGCCCCCGCGCCCAGCACACCCCACCAGGCTCCCCTCACTGCCAGCAGCAGCACCCGGCTCTTTTCTGTTATTTATTCCAAACAAACGTATAAAAACTCCCGGAGGAGGAAGGAAGCTGCACAGATGAAGGAGAAGGAGAAGGGGCTGAGGAGGGAGGGTCACAGTCCTGGGCTCCAGGCTCAGTCTGCTGTGCGACAAGGGGGTTGGGGCGATGCTCTTAGCAGCCCCCAATGCTGCATGTCCTCGGTGCCTGCGGGGCTGGCAGATGCTGGTACTTCAGGGCTGGGGGCACTGCCCCAGCGCTGCCACCCTTCTGTGGCTCCAGGTTCTCTCCCGGGACCCGCTCCAGTCCCAGGCCACTGCTTCCAGAGGTCCTGCTCCAGTAGGCCAGGCTGCCACCAGCATGGCCACAAGTCCACGGGCTATGGCTGAGCCCCAGCTCCAGGGCCGGTCCCCAGGACATGCCCTGCTGTGCATGCCCTGCCTGCAGGACATATCCATGCTGTACACTCAGAGGTGGCTCCTCCAGGCCAGCCCACGGGCACTATCCAGTGTGGGGAGGAAGTGTTTGCCGTCTCTGTTCTTTGGCAGGGGAGTAAATATATCCCTGCCCAGGGTCCCACTGCTCCCTGCAGGGCTGAGGCAGAAGCTTCCAGCTCAGCTTTGGGTCCCCGGACCCCTAATACTGACAAGTTCTCAGCTGCCGCCTTGTGCGGGGATCACTGGCTAGGCACGGGTGTGCATGAGGCATGCACACGTGCTCCACGGACGCAGGAGGCCAGCCACTATGTGGGGCCTGCTCCTCTGTCCTGCGGACTCTGTCCTCCGCCGTCCTGCCACTCAGTCCATGTGGCCGGGCCGGGCTGGGCCTCACAGGCCAGGCAGCACCAGAAGGGGAAGGAGGAGGCTGAGGAGGGCAACGGGGCTGCTCCTGCGCATCGCTGTGTTGTGGCCCACACTCAGCAGGACATGCTGTGCCGGATCGTCTGCAGGGGACAGGGTCCAGGAGTGGCGTAAGCCCCGTGCTGCCTGTAGCTAGTGCCACAACTGCATGCCCACCCTCCAGCCCGTGGCAGCCTGTGGCACCACCCCCCCACCCTCTGTGGCTGCCCCATCTCTGCAGACCCATCTGCCCCTGAACCATACCTGCCAGGATCCTGCTCCGCTGCGTGGGGATGGGGGTAGGCAGCGTTTGAGCTGGAAAGAAAATGCAGAGATGCAGGTGAAGGGCAGCCCGCAGCAGTCACGTCCCATTCCAGCATCAGCCCACCCCACCACACCCCTCGCTCCAGGGGCAGGCACTTGGTATGCCACAGAGACCCCCACCCCTTGCCCCCAGGCTGGCCAGGGGCTGCGGCTGGGCTCTGCCTCAGTGGGTGGGCAGGCAATGCAGCTGCCTGCAAGGGTACAGCCAGGGCCATGACTCAGGCTTCCTGTCCACGGCCGCTTGGCACCTGGGGGCCGCAGAGGGTGAGAGGGGTCGGGGGAGGGGAAGGGGATGCAGGGGTTACACTGGCAGCAGGGGGGCAGCAGGACTCAGCACCTAGAGATACTCACTGGCTTTGCCGACCACAGTCACCTTCAACTTCAGGCAGGTGTCCCCATGGTGGTGTATGGGCTTTGCTGGAGAGGAGAGACACAGGTCAGAGGGACCAGGGGCCCTGGCTCCAGGGCAAGCTGCTTCCCGTCTTAGTGCTGGGACCCTGGCTGGCCCGGGGGAGACCCCAGCCCCAGGCAGAGACAGATCAGGGAGCTGGCCCAGGGCAGCATCATGCACCCTGCAGACCCTTCCCATCCCAGCCCTGCCAGGGCCCTGGTCACTCACAGATGTAGTAGTAGCTGTGCCCCTCCTTGAACTCCTTGCCCAGCGTGAAGGGTGTGAAGCGCTGGAACTTCTCCGAGAAGCGCTCAGGGCCGTGTGGCGCCATCGGCTTGTTGCACTCCCAGCGCACCTGGTCCTTGGAGTGCGGCTTGCAGGTAACAAACTCCTCATGCTCCACCAGGTACAGTGTGTAGCGCTCCATGGCGTGGGCACCTGCGCTGCCCTCCTCGTAGTGCGGGCAGATGACGTCCAGGTAGTCATTGAGCCGCACCTCCACCACGTAGTCGTCCCACAAGAACCTGGCGCAGAGCAGGGCAGTCAGCACAGGGGCACAGTGCTGACGAGCTGCAGCCAGCACCCCTGTGCCCGGCCCAGGATGGTGGAAAGGGGGAAGAGGTGCGTCCTGCCGGAGGCCTCTGCCCCTGGGAGCTTTACAGGGTGGACGAGAGGGACAATGTGCCTGGTTTGACACCTCATAAACTCCAGGCCAGCTCAGCCTGGGCCCCTCCTGGCTCCCCAGGAGCCCCGGGGGGTAGACAGCCTGTCTCCTGTCTCCCGGCTCCGTCTGCTCAAGGCCGGGGAACCAGGCAGATGTACATTGACCATGGGGCGCCTGGGCTGCCCCTTCCCGGGCTGGGCCCCCAGACAGGGTAAGCAAAGCCAATCTTCACCAGTGGGGGGGGGGGGCCCACCGGCCCCAGGCACGTCACAGCTGTGGCCTCTGCACCCCCCAGCCCGGGCAGATCAGGGCCCAGAGGAACTGGGACCAACAACATGTTTGTCAACAGGCTTCCTGCCCCCGGCGCC